GAGGGCAGTGTCACTGGCCCTCATATGTGGGATCCAAACCGGGGCCCTCTGGCATCCCAAGCCAGTTCTTAACCATCGCACCACTCGGCCAGCCCCAAACAGGTTATTTTTTAAATTTTGTGATAATTATGCTTTGATGTATCTAAACTGTCACACTGACAACACATCAATAGCCTGGAGTTCCCTATTTCAAAGGAAAAAGGAATCTAATTCCTTCTAGTCGGATTATTAATATCTTACTGATTCACTTATTTTAGAGGTTTACGTGCAACGATGGCACAGTCATGGCAAATGCCCATGAATTCTCTCAGAAAGCATTATGATTACTATTATTACCTGCTGTGACATCCCTTGCTGAACGTCCAGGCTGCAAGACACTCAGTTTGAGCTTTCCATCATGAAGGACAAGGGTGAAAGCCCCTGATTCATGCTGAAACTGACTGGTCAGCAACAGTCCTGCTCTGTTCCACGTTCGGAATTGGAAAGTGACAGACACTTTGTCCTTTCCAGAGATGTCTGGCAGAGCCAAGTAACTCCTGGAGGTCAGAAAAGTCACGGGGACAGTTTGAGGGTATGAACACGAGAAGGACACGTTTCCCTGTGAACACAGTAAAAGAGACTTTAGGAAGTTGCAGTGGGGACACTTCTACGTCATTAACAACAGATTTTACAGGATATACAGATATTTTTTATCAACTTCCTAGCAAACAAAGACTTTAAACATTGTCTTCCCCATCAAACTTAAATCCAGGTTTACCAAATAGGTCCCTGAAACCAAAGGACTGTTCCAACTGGGTGAGCCTGTTTCTGAGGGTTGTAGGGAATTTCCATTTTCTCCATTACTCAGCATTTGCAATAGAACCTTGAGGCAAACCTTTGCCATGCCTGTGCTGGGCGTGAGACACAATGGATGAGACCGTTGTCTTTCCTCCAGATGTAGATGTTTTCATCCACTGTGAAGGTTGGCATGAGTATCGCCTACTCCAAAACTTTCCAGAGCTCACCTTGGTTATGTAAATGTGATTATAAGTGTGTCACTCAGGTGACAGATACATCTTACTCTAGGTGGGAGGTGTGCTTTTGCATGTGTGCAGAAAAGGATGTGGCCAGGCTGGACATCTGTAAAGCAAGCTGGCCATCTCCCTGAAGCTCTAACAGGCCGCATTTCCCAGGACAGTAACCCAGCCAAAGGTCTGACTTGTGTAGCAGGCATGTTTTAATTTTTATATAACCCTGTTTTAAAAAATACTTTTTATGCCTGGATTATCTCTATTGCTCCAGAAGCAAACTTATTTTTAATCATAGTGTTTGGATGAAAAGAACTTAATGAAATTACAATTCAGTTCTCTACAAGAATATTTCCCTGGGATTGGGAAATTTTCATAAATTTCTTATGAAAGAATACATGCCTAGTCGTTGCCCTTCCTCTCCAAAATACATTAACTTACCAGATACCGAGGCATAGTATAAAGTCACTGTAATCAAGGCATGTGTTATTTGTATAGGAATAGACACATCAGTGGAACAGAATAATTAACCCACAAAAAGATCTGAGAATATATGTACAGTTAGTATGTAATGACACTTATGATTCAACTGTGTGGGGAAAAGTTTGGATTAGTTACTAAATAATGTGGAAGTAAATGAGTATCAATAAAGCAGAATATAAAAAATTGAGCCTTATCATATATTACATAAAGAATAAGTTCCAGACAATAAAAAGCTTATTTTTTTAAAATTTAAGAATAAATAAATAAATACAATTTAAAAATTCTTACAGGAAATCCACACCATATATAGATTCTAGGGTTTTAGAGACATTCCAAAGCAAGACTGATTATTATAAAGCCATAAAAAATTACATAGACAGATTGACCCCATACAAATAAAAACACTTATACACTCAAGATGTCTATATTTAATATAAAGTTGATAAATCTGAAAGAATATTTGGACCACAAATGACAAAGGGTTATCTCTAAAATATAAAACTGTTATAAATTGACAAAAAGTTTTTTAAAATAGGCAAAAGAATAAGAATGAATAATTATCATGAAAGCAAATCCAAATGTACAACAAACACATGAAAAGATTATTTAATTCACCAGAAGTCACGTAGACATGAAGTAACCATGAGATATTAGTTCATGTCCACTGAGCTGGTAAGAGTCTAGAAATGTACACCATGTATGGCAGGCTGAGATGTGATAGGAGGGCTCTGTTACACACTGCTGGTGGAAAATGTCATGTTACAGCTTTTGGGAAAGCAATCCAACAACATTTATTAAAATTTAAAACTGTATAAAACTTTTAACCAAGAAATTCTACTCCTGGAACTTTATCCCATAAATATAAAAGCCTCAGTATCTGAAAACACATGTGCAATTGTCGCTTGTAGTGGTAAAAAGCAGAGGTAAAGCAAATGCTTTGAGTAGGAAATGACTAGAGAAATAATGGCACACTTTCATAATGGAAATGACACAGCCATTCTCACGTGGAACTATACCTGAGAACTGGAAAGAATTTCCATGAGGTATTGCTGTGTCAGAAAATCAACATGAAGGAAAGCTTATATAAAACAATCCCATTTTTGTAAACAATGCCAAATGTGGAGGCATATAGATTCATAAATATGTGTGTGAGTATGAGGTTACAAATCTATAGAGGATTTGGTTATTATGGATGAAACATGGAAGCGCAAATGCTAGCTTAGTATAATAACATGAGAGCCCAGTGGGGAGAGAACAGAAAGATGGAAGAGAAAATCAATCAAAAAGAAAGACAAAGGCTTAAAAAGACTTTAGGTGATCACACTTCAACACGTTCATAAAATTATGCATCTGTTTCCATATATATTTAAAAGTTAAATCAATCACGAACTAAAAAGTACATACAATGTGTACCTTCCCACTTTTAGAAGAGATATTTTACAACTGAATCAATCAAACAAACTGCAGCTCTTTTTTCTCTTGAACTCTCATTTAGATGTTCTTACCATGATGAGGATCTGTGGTTTGTGTTTCTTGGACAAGTCGATGATATCCACTCCATTATAACAGAGATTTTCAAAGCAGCCATGAAAATTTTTATGTGGGAACACCACTGATTTTCCATGTCCAGGAATCCCTCCAAAGCTGATCTTAGAAAGAAAAAAAATGACATAAATAATGCTGTTTAATGATTTTATGATTATCTGCCTAAAACATTTCTGATTAGCAAGTATAGATGATTAGCTCAAATCTATTTGGCATTATTTTACATTATCATGTTCATTTCAAAGGAAGTTTTAGATGCAGATTTATCAATGCTTTATTTATTGTATTTAAATAAATAGGTTAAATGTCCTTACAATTTGCTACTCATATGGCTCTGTCATCTTTGTTGATGGGGAATATTACATCTTTATTTCCATAGTAACTCTTGATCTGTGAGACAATGTAGCCTACTGTGATGATATCCTACTTTCTAAACCTTTCTAGCACCCAGATTAGGGTCCTGACGTTTGTCATGACTCTGATAGGTTAGAATAATAAAGCAACCGACAAGCTCATTCAAGACGAGGCTCGCCAGCTGGTCTCCTCTGCTGAGGCCACTTATACCAAAATGAATGCTGAAATCATGCGGTTTGTTCTCACAGATGTGCTGAGCAGAAGTGGCAGAAAAATGCTGTATGTCAGTGTAGGTTAGGTATATGAGGTATGACAATTAAGTTCGCGGACCTCCTAGAAAAAGTGCTACATACATCATTGCTGAATATCACTATTGTCACCTTTGAAATACTCCCCTTGGGAAGTTATGCACCGATGACAGCACCTAGTTCACCCTCCAAAGCAATTTGGGAACTCTTTCTGGAATGGCCATCAGAGCTGACATTGTATTACCCTTGATGTCCTGAATGTCATCAAAATGTCTTCCTTTCAATATTTCCTTTATCTTTAGGTAAAGAAAGAAGTCATTGGGGACCAGATCAGGTGATTAGGGAGGGTGTTCAAAAAAATTATTTGTTTACTGGCTAAAAACTCCCTCACAGACAGTGTCATGTGAGCTGGTGCATTGTGATGCAAGAGCAATGAATTATTGGCGAAAAGCTCAGATCGTCTAACTTTTACAAGCAGCCTTTTCAGCACTTCCAAATAGTAAACTTGGTTAACTGTTTGTCCAGTTGTTACAATTTCATAATGAATAATCCCTCTGATATAAAAAAAGGTTAGCAACATTGTTGCAACAAGTTCACGAACTTAATTGTCAGACCTATATGCGCAACATGCTGCAAACAAATATCGTTAGGCCTTTAACATCCCCAAGAAACAGTATTTTGAGTTATGTGCATTTGGCTTTATAAGCTTATTACTTTTCCAAGTTATCCTAGGTCACCAATTCTGTTTAGGATTGCCCTAAAACACAAAAAAATCTCCAAGGTAACTGTTCATAGACAAACACCAGACGTAATGCAGAACTGTCCAAACAAATACATTTTAAAATGCTACTTGTTTTGTTGATAGCTCTTCATGTACAGATTTCCTGAATTTAATGACTACTTACCTCACGTGAAGGTTAATATCTATAAGGGATAAAACATCTCAATAGCACATGCATGCATGTCCCGCTGTGCGATCATCACCCATAGGGAATATTTCACCAGATTTCTGAATTACTAGGAAGCAGTTACCTCTCTATGTGGTAGTATTTTTCTCTAGAAGGTTATATTGCATTTAAATGATAAAACCTGTAAAACATAAAAAGTAATTTTCACACCTCATAATCAAGATCCAAGTAGCTGGACTCTCCCTTTGCCTGGAAATGATGAGTGTGCCTGTCCACGGTGAAGCTGACATGCGTGTTCAGGATTTCAATGAGGACATGATGCCAATGCTGGTCGTCCAGCAAGCTGCCCAAGGTGAGGGTCACACTGGCGTCAGGGGAGGGTGAGTTAGCACTGCCTAAGGAGAGGGGAAAAAGAAGTCACCCTGTTCAATGCTATGATTTCTAGCTCTCACACCAATTCTTCCCTCACATCCTTTTATCCCAATAACTGGTCAGCTGGTTTTATCTCAATCTGAAACACAATCTTCTTTTGATCATGAGTAATTTCTTCTATCTTATTTTCTTTTATTATTATTGATTACTGATTTTTCATTTTCCTTAAAGATACTTTCTTCCCAGGACCTCATTAATAGTACTACCTCAAAAACTTACAATGATCCACCCTTGTCTTTAGGATATGATCAGGTTATTTACTGAGAACCTACAGACAATTATCAAGCTATAAAACTTTTCACATAAAAGCAAATTCAAGGTATATACACACTGCTCTTAGCACAGCTGCACTGTTGGGGACCACGATTCTGTTGGTTCACACCTATTGCTCCAGAGTAATTATTTATAGGGTCTTACTATTCTTACTCCATTCAAAAGTGTTCTGGTTTCAGGATAAATTAACTACTTAACTGTGAAAAAAATAAGTATACATAGAAACTTACAACTAAATAGCCATATTTTTAAAAATACCACCTTGTAGTTTTTACCTGAATTAAGTAATAAGATGAGTTTTCCTTTAACTAACTTCAGGGTGATGTGTTTGCCATTTTGTCCTTCTCTGTGGAGTAGAATCCCGCCATTCTGCCTGGTTTTAAATTTCAAAGAAAAAACATCTTTTGTTGGATTCATGGTGTCCTGATTAAATGTGTACAGCAAGGAACTTTTTCCATCAAAATTAACCATCTCAGATCCTACAGTGAAAGACATTAAAAAATAATCTAAGTATATTATATTAGCACACCAAAATGTGTAAGTCAACACACACATGGGAGTATGCGTACATAGTACAGCTCTGGTTTGTTTAACAGAGGGGAAAATAAACGCTACTGCTGATTTTCTCTTGACACTGGAAATTGATATACATAAACTTCACTCTTTGTCTTTTCTGACATTTTCCCCAAAATGTATCATCTAGAAATATTTCTGTTGGGTAATTCCAATTGCTCCCATCTTTGTATTGGCCTACTCTCATCCTGTAAAACAGGAGGATCAGGAGGGAAGTTAAAGTCATTCTCACCTGAATGAAATCTCCATGCATATTTTATAATCATTCAACATTACTGGATTTATTTTTTGAAAGGTTATAATAGGTCTCACACTCTAGTAGGAGGTAAAATATCAGTGTCACTCAATGTAAATGGCTTAATTGTTTGTGAACCAGTGGTTTTGGCTTTTAACCATTCTCACATAAGCAGTCACTTTAGTGTACTTTTTCTGGTCATAAGACTCACATACACATACTAGATTTACTAAATACCACTTTAAACTCATAGTAAAGGGTCTCCAGTAAACTGGAATGTATTTTTCTCAACATGTTGGCTCCATAACAGCACAAAAGGGCACATCTGTTCTGTTATGTGCTTTAAGAGCATGGTGAAGGTGATTCCACTGCAGCACATCAACACTACGATGCTGCCATTTTGTCTCAAATTCTGACAGTGTCTGATTTTCCAACTATCAAGGTCACTTGCATTCAGTTTATATGAAAAAGTTATATTTTATTATTAATATAAAAAGAACATCAGTCAAACCAACTGAAGACAGACAAGAGATATACAAAGGAATTCATATTGCCCAGAAAAATCTCTTACATTTTTCATATTTCACAAATAAAAAGAAAATACATAATTGTCTCTTAAAAATACATTTGTGTAATAAATGAAGGTGCAAGAAAAATCCAATAACATCTGAAGCTGGTGTCTTTTAGGCCAATGATATGATGTTGTTTACTTTATTTAATGACACAAAAAGTTGTGGCTAATGTATACTTGGACCTGCATTTCATTCAGATTAATCAAAATATTTACAGGAAACTCTTTATGTTCAAAGCTCAAAGGAATTATCCATTTTATGTAGATACCTTTTAAAAGTTTGAAAGTTTGATTCACATACATAATGGAAAATATATAAGCTCCGTATTATATCTAAACACATGTGAACTAAACAATTATTCTTCATTGCATAGTTAAATAAATGTGGCTGATAAAAACATTACTGTCAAATTCAAATGTCTTTAGCATATTAGATGACAACAAACTAATGAAAGCTTGATAATGAAGAATTTAAATGCTTTCATATTTTCACAGTGTAGTTTATCTCTGTCAGTCACTAAAAGACAATGATAATAATTAAGGCTTATTTTTGTGCTATCTATTAGAACATTTTTGTTCCATAAATGATTTTGCCAGGATTATTTTGATGGAAAGATTTTTGTCCTCATTTTCCTTGTTGCCGCTATCGTTGTGTAATAGTAATATTGATCCTCTAGATAGCAGAACCTCCTGGATTGTATGTTAAACACAGATTTGGGCCCCATTCCAGAGTTTCTAACTCAGCAGGTCTGGGGTGGGATCTGAAAATATACATTTCTAATGAGTTCCCTAATGATTTTGATCCTGCTTATCTGGTGACCATATTTTGAGAACCACTGCTCTAAAGACCTTAAATTCCATTTCCTGGAAAATTCCCCTCAGGCAAAATGGAGTAGTGAAAAAATTTATTGGGTGATAGAAACACAAAATAATGGCCTTAAAACTCTTCGCCCTAATGTTTTGACCTTCTCTCTAATGTGATCACTAACACTCATATGAACCCAGAACAATTAGCCACATGTTAATCATCAAATTATATCTTGGGACGGAAATTCAACATGCACTTTGACAGATTTTTTTAAAGCCTATAAGGTGACTGAATTATAATATAGATATGTAGCCAACTGAGTAAAACAAAACCACTTAGAAATAATGTATTTTGCAATCATCCTGGTAGTCTAACTAAAATCTTAAATGATAATAAACTTAAGCTCAAATTCGAGGTTAATAAAAATAGATAAAACTCAGGAATTGTTTTTAGAAGTCTGAAATGTTGGGGTACTGCTTCTCTTCATCTGAAATTATCCATGTCACTGCAGTCTGTTATAATATAGCCCCACAAGCTAATTTTTAAGGTTTCTCAAAAAACAAGCATAAAACAAAAACTAGGTGGCAGAGTATAAGTCCCCAAAAGACTTGCCGTATGTCCCCATGTATAAGACGCACCTTAATTTTGGGGCCCGAAATTTGAAAAAAAAAGTATTACATAAAGTTATTGAACTCAAGTTTTATTCATCATAAAATTCATACAACTCCTCATCACTGTAAAAACTCCCAACCATAACCAGTCTCAGATTGTTTTCTCAGTTGGAAGAGGACCAAACTTACGTTCAGCAGCACGATTTTCATTCACTTTTGCAAACTGGATCCCTTTTAACTTGAATTTAGCACTGTACAAAAATCTTTTCTGAGCCATTTCTGGGCAGAACGTGGCAAAACGTAACCTAATATACCGGTAACAAGTGCGAAACAATGAGCGCAAACACAAGAGCAAAAAAGTGGGAAATGCAAGTAAAAAAAAAAGAACTACAACCAGTGTATAAGACACACCCAGATTTTAGACCCCAAATTTTTCAAAACGGGTGCGTCTTATACATGGGGAAATACAGTAGATACCGGCTGGCTGGCCCTTTAGAGAAACTCTGTGCCAGCCCCCACTCTGCAGAGTCACCAGCCATGATTACTATGCCTAGTTCTATTGTGCAGTGGTGGCCGTGATAAGAACCAGCTCACAACCAGACATTTTGCAATCCTTCTTTGATTTAAAAATCAAAACCCTTATTTTATATAGGAAATCAAAATTTGATTATTTCTGCTGACCTGCCTATTGCATAATTCAATACATTTCATATGTGGCTATTCTACAATACATATTTTATAAGGTGAAGTCTAGGTCAATATTTTGGTTCCTGGTTTTATAGTTCTGTGTATAATATAAAAGATTGGTTTTTATATAAACAGTCTTCCGTAGCTTCAAATGTTGTTTTGGAAAGAATTTTGCTTTGGCATAATACAGTTTTGTTATTAAAAGGCCATTTTCCCCCATTTCCTCCCCCCTTGACCTAATTTCCTTTCATTCCACAAGTATAGCTCCATTTTCATTTGATACTAATGTAGCACCTACTATGTGTCACACATTGTGCTGGATGCTGGAACAGAACAGACAGCACAGACATGGGCTGACCCTCCAGGAGCTGACAGTGCTCCCTCACTTTCTCAATTCCACTATCATGAAAGAATGCCTTGCACCAAGAGCATCCTAGAGTCTTATGTGGGTTGCTAAGGAAACTACAGTGACAAGGAAACAGCTTCAACTCAGGATAGAAGAAGTAGAAGATGGAAAAGCTCTTCTCTGGTAAAAGTGTCTGGAAAGTAGGAATGCAAAGAATTAAAGCAATCTAGGTACCATACTAATCACACAATACCCTTTACCTAAAATTTACAAATAGGCATCAGAAAGTGGCTGACCATGGTTCAAAAAATGAACCACGTTGTTAATCAAGAAACCCTTCAGTTAAACCCACATAATAAATAAGAATAAACATTACCAGAACAGATGATTTGTAATGGGAATATTTAGGCTGGAAACTCAATTATAGACCTCAGCAAAGAGAATCCATTTTATAAAATGTCACTTACTTACAAATGTACATATATCAACCTGAATATTTGAAAACAAATTGACAAGTCAGTAAACATTAAATAACAACAAAAAAAGAACAACAAAAAATAAGTTCTAAATACTCAGACATGATCTGTAAAGGCAATAACTTTTTAAAAATGTAAAATTAAACAAAAACATCAAATTTGGGATGGAAAGTGTTTAGCTCAATAAGTCGGCAGTAGCAAGCTCTTCGAGTATGGACAGGGACCCCAGGAAGTCCCCCACTAAGCAGAGGTTCCCCTGATCCTCATGCCACTGATCATGGAATGACCTAGAGAAAGCAACCTTCAAGTCTTAACACTCACTAGTAATGCTAAGGGGACCTTGTTTCTGTCAGTCCCTTAATGTAAGGTTTCGGCTGTTGGACAATTGAAAGAGCACATAAAGCTTTATTCATCCCTAATTAATACAAATAACCCACTACAATACTTATTTGAATGAAAACACCAAAATAATGCATTAAACTACCACTTAGTACCACATTTACCTTTTACAAAAAGCCTTCATGAACATATTTTTGTATGTAATTCAACTATTTAAATAATTGAGTTACTTGGAATAGAGGTCACTTATTATGCATTAAAATAGGAAGCAATCGCTTCCTCTGTTGTAAGAGCACAGAAAGTACATTCCAGAAGAGTAGGAGGAAATGTAATACTTAGCTGAAATTAGGAAGTGTTTTTCAAATTTGATGTAATTTTAATTTATAATCATTAGTTTTATTAACTGAGGTTATATTTTGATGACTGTATCACTGACAGTATTAGTAAAGAAGGCCCCACAACATACTAGCCATTTAGGGAAAGGAATCCATCTACCAGTAGTGAGACTACATTTGTGCTGATATATTTACAGTCTCTGAACCTAGACCCACAAACAGAGCCTCACAACATAGAGTAGTAGCTCAGAGAAAGGACTGTGGAGTTGTCTTGTGAGAGTTTGAATCTTGGTTCCATTGTGGAAAACCTACTCAATCTCTCTGTGCGTCAGTTTCCTCATTGGTAAAGGATAAAGGAGTCTCTCCTGAGCAGCACTGATATGAGTATTAAACCACTTAATACTGTACACTGCGGTGTGTACAGCAGTGCCTAAAACATGGTATGTCCTCAGTGGGTGTTCGTTACATTCGTATTGGTAGAGCATTAGGCAAAGAAAA